CTTTCCAGCCTGTCCAGGTCTCGCTGAATGGCAGCACAGCCTTCTGGTGTATCTACCACTCCTCCCAGTTTGGTGTCATCAGCAAACTTGCTGAGGGTACACTCTAACTCTTCATCCAGGTGACTGATGAAGAAGTTGAACAAGACTGGGCCCAGTACTGACCCCTGGGGACACCGAGGGCAGGCCTTCAGAGGGATGGGATGCTTTTCCCCGAGAGCCACTGACAGCCAGACACGTCTGCTGTGCCCGGTTCTCCGGGGTGACACGCGAGGCACGGAACCACTGACAGATGCGATGGGTCCTGGTGTGTGGGATGGTTCCTGTCCCACTAGCTCAGTCACCAGTCTTAAGACGGCCAAATTCCCATCACCCTCCCGTGGGAGACCCTTGGCAGGGCTCGGGCAAGCTGGCTCCTACCTGACACTGGCTCTGCAGCTTCTTGGTGGGTCGGCCAACGATGTAGATGTGCGTGGGTGGGAGGCTGATGGAGCTGTACACGGAGATGTCCTTGGTGGATCCATACGCAGCGTGGATCCTCATGTGGAGCTGCGGGGAGACAAAGCGACGCATGGTCAGGACATACGGGCGCCCCGTGCTGCTCAACAGGCAGCGTTGTTTTTGTTTTTTTAAAAATAGCATTTGTGGGAATCTCAGGGCAGTAACTTATGCAAGTCCCCAGCTGGATAACTCACCGCTGTGCAAAGCGCTAATTAACGGAGCCGGGGATGCTTACAGGCCAGGAGCAACAGCGAGATGAAAGCAGGGCTCCGCTCGCTGCAGCTCAGCCTTTCCCGGAGGTCTGCGGGGCGGCAGGGACGCCGCACGCTTCGCTGCCTGCCTGTCGCTGGGGGAGAGGAGCAGATCGCAACCCCCCCGTCCATGCAGTGATCACTGGTGGGGAGCGTGGTGGGGTGCGTTCCCCCCCGCCAGCCACACAATTCTGCTGTTTTAACTCTGCTGGGCAGAGGGAGAAGGGACAGGCAGCAAAATACGCTGCTTTTCAGGGGTTCCTCTGCCTCCCCCCCGAGCAGAGAGCGGCTCCCGGCCAAGCCCTCCCTCGGTGGGCTGACACCAGGGCTGGCCCGGGAGGTGCAGACATCAGTGGGCAGGCCAGGGAGATGGAAAGGAAATCTATGGCCATGGTCACAGACTTGTTCTTCTGGAGGACAAGGGAGAGCAGGCAGCACGTAAGGGCCAGCCGCTCCCGCTGCCGCGACTCAGGCTGAGAGTCCAAGAGCGTTAACGAGGAGCTTTCCCTGCTATTCGAGGCAGGGCGCGAGTGCTCGGGACACCGGCTGGACTTCGCTTGCCAGAGAACACCTTGCTCTGTCTGGAGGTTTTCTGAGGCTCTGGGCTGAGCAACGTTGAGACCTCCCCGGGGTCAAACGCTTGGGAAGAAGCCCTGCAGAGTCTCCCGTCAAGGCTGGGTGGTGCAGGGCCACTTCTGCAGCAGCTCCGTGCCCGCTCAGACCCGCAGGTTACACCACAGGCAGCCAGAAAGCCACCAAACGGGTGAAAAAAGAGCACGAGAGGGCAAGGGAGGCACTGCATTTGGTGTTGGAAAGACCAGCGATGAAACGGAGCAGTGCAGAGCAGAGATGACACGATTTAAAGGACAGACACTTTTGCAGAGCAATAGAAGGATGAAAATAAAATGAACAGATTAATCTTCCACCGCGGGTCACGTCGCTGCCAAGAGACCGGTGCTGACAGGGGCAATCGGACGAGGAGCAATCTAAACCCATGCTACGACCGTGTTTCCACAGCCCCAGGCTTACGTCCGTGATGAGGGATTTCAGGAAGTTGGCCTTGTGCCGCAGCGGGTCGTGAACGAGCCCATCGCAGAAGGAGACGATCCCGTGGGGGAAGTTGTGCTGTGCTAACCACGCCACCACCCTCTGCTTCTGCATGTCGGGGCGGCCCGTGACGTAGATAATGAGGTAGCCGAGGTCTTGCCAGTGCCTGGAAGGAAAGCCACAAGTCAATGGGTCGCAGATCTAGAGCAACGCCGGCGTAAAACGAACCGACCGCCCCGGCCGCTGACCTTACAACGTCGACCGCTCCGGCACGGACTTTGGGGTCGCTGCCCATGATGGACACGCTGGCTGCAAAGGAGCCGTCGATGCTGAACACCACGAACTCCGTCCCCTTTGGCAGGACTGTGATGTAGCTGTCTGCGTACGTGTGGTCGCCCCTGCAAGGGACGCAAGTATTTATAGGCATCGAGATACAGAGGTTCTTTCAGAAGGTATCACCAAGTCCTGCGGCGCATCACAAGTCCAAAGCAGCACCCATACGCGACCCAAAGCCTCCAAGAGCGATGCCACCACAGTTACAGCAGTGACAGGCACTGCGTGAAGGCCTCTGTGTTAAAGTGGGGCTGGTAATAGCAGTCAAGCTCTGGCACCAGTGACTCAAAGAAATACTTCCAGAAAACCGTTGCTGGGTTCACCACTGAGAAGATGCTCCTCTCCTCCCCTTTCCAGAGCTCAACACCAGCAACTGGGGCTGAGCTGGAGCCTCTGGGCTCTGAACTATCACATCTGCAAAGTTCTGTCCCTCAAGAACAAGTTTATGGTATTGAAAATGCACTCAGCGGTGCAATTTTGCAGACAACTGCGAGGCCACACGTCTGTGGTGCAGCAGGCCTGCTTCTGCAATGGGGGCTCAGCTACCATGCTGTTACAGAGTCATGGCATGGTAGGGGTTGGAAGGGACCGCTGGGGATCATCCAGTCCAACCCCCCTGCCGAAGCAGGGTCACCCAGAGCAGCCTGCACAGCACCGCGTCCAAGCGGGTCTGGAATATCTTCAGAGAAGGAGACTCCACAGCCTCCCTGGGCAGCCTGGGCCAGGGCTCCATCACTCTCAGAGGGAAGCAGTTCTTCCTCATCTTCAGCTGGAGCTTCCTCTGCTTCAGTTTGTGCCTGTTGCCCCTTGTCCTGTCGCTGGGCACCACTGGAAAGAGTCTGGCCCCGTCCTCCTGACACCCACCCTGCAGATATTTAGAGGCATTTCTAAGGTCCCCTCGCAGCCTTTTCTTCTTCAGGCTGAACAAGCCCAGCTCCCTCAGCCTTTCCTCGTAGGAGAGGTGTTGATGACGCAGGAGTCAGAGTAAAACGTTGATTTGTACTCTTACAACTGTGGAGTACAAGTGGCTTTGTCCCTGTCGCTGACTCTGAACCCACCCAACAAGCAGAGCTGCCCCACAAGGAGGGACCATCATATTCTACAGTCATCACATTCCTCTTCTGTTCCTCCTGCGAGGTACCTCACCTGACCACCATCTTGACAGGGTACACGCCAATGCCCAGGCGCCGGTTCTCAGGGATGACGTACGAAATCCTGCCGCTGCTGTTGCTGATCTCTGTGTCAAAGTAAACCCACTCTCCTGACGGCGGCTGGGTCATGATGTGAATGTCCACCTGGGAAGACAGCAGGGCTGGGTCAACAGCAGCGTTAAAGACAGACAAGCAGAACAGGCCGAGCACGGTGACCTTCCGCCCAAGCCCTCTCGGGCAGCAGCAGGGCTGGGTCTTGCCTCCACCCTCTGCACTTCACAGATCTGAGCTGAGAAGTACCTCGCCGGTACGCGGCGAGGAATGAAAACCTCGGGACGCCGAATGAAACCCAGCCTCGGCGGCGAAGACCCCCG